CCCAGACAGAACTTCCAACCTTCCAACCCCATTTGTAGGGGCACCTCTTGGTCCTGCCCACCAGCACCCAGGCCCTGGGCACCTGGTTTTAGTCCTTCCTTCTGAGGGTCCACTGCTTAGCTTCTCAGTCTTAGGGTGTCTTGTGGAGCCCAAGGGATGGACAGTCCAAGCCTGGTGTACCCCTGGCCACAAGGCCCCACTAAAGCAAATGAGGCTAAATATTGTGGACCTGGAGCTTCAAGGGTGTGGGTTTGGAGCTTCAAGGCCATGTCAAAGAAGGGGCCAGCACACAGGGCCATCATGACAAAGACCAGCACCATAAATAAGACAGACACACCAAGACCCGATGACACCATTTAGCCCAGCACCATCCCCAGAACTTGGAGTCATGTGACCCCACTATCTCCCTTCTTGTGCTTAAGTTGTTTAACCAGTGTGAGATTCCCATCACTTGCAGCAAGGAACCATAACCATCCCCCCGCCCCGACACTGAGCCAGGAGGCCCCCCTGCCATCAGCTTCATCTTGCTCTCTTTCATGCTGTGGATTCCTAAGGCAGGGATGTTGGCAACAGGAAGTCATCCCTCCAGCATAGCTGAGTCCTGAGCACAAGCCCCTTCCATTTGTCACTTTCTTAAAGAGTCTGGAGTCAGCCCCAAAAGCCCCAGTTCCTAACCCCCTTCAGCGCCACACATTCTGGAATTGAGCCAGGCAGGAGACACAACACACTCTGGCCTTTGCCAACTTTTGCCCCTCCCAGGCCCTGGGCTCTGATTACTTCTCCCTGTCCAGCTCCTTTTCCAACCCCCAGCCTGCTTGATGGGGCTCTCACGTCCTGCCTGGCACCCACCAGCCCTGTCTTTTAGGGTCCAACTCTGATCCATCTGCCCTCTGACTGTGGCCTGAGTCCAGCTCCAAGACAGAGACTCCTCCAAGGCCAAGGGTGGGAGGAGGAGAGAGGGGTCTGCTGAACTCTTATGTGCACAGGACTTCACATTCCATATCACCAGCAGCAAAGCCAACTGCTTGTTACTGTTCGTACAGACCATGGCATTAGGGAAATCCAGGACTCCAGCACTTGCCTGGTGGCCCTGGCAACTCTCTATTTTGTTTCACTTCATAAAAGAATCATTAACAGTTTTTAGTCATGGACCAGGCCCTTTGGGGATTCCCCTCATTTGCTCCATGACTCTGGATCATTCTCTCCACTTAAATGATGAGGTGAGGACTTCAGGGAGAAGGGGTGGCTGTCCAGGGTCACGGTGCAGGTGGTAGGAGCAGGGCTGAACACCAGCTTCCTGAAGGCAGGGGACCATCATGTCCATCACTGCTTCATTCCCTGTGTTTGGAAGAGGGTCTGGCTTAGGTGTGATCCAGATGTCTGCTGTTTGAGCGAGCCAGGCTGCTTGCAGGCTCACGTGTCCTGCATGCTCATGTTCAAAGCAGGGATAAGGTTGGCCTCGTCTCTGCCTCCTGATGAAGCTGGGTGGTAGGTACCAGTGAACACAGCAGGTGGGCTGCTCCCCTACAGTGAGTGGTATGCACACCCAGGGGCCCTCGGTGGTAATCACGGTGGCCAAGTAATCACAGAGTCTCAAGGGACACTTGTACCAGCCAGGAGCCAGGAAAATGTGGAGGAATGCATAGGTGGGTGGATGTGTCCCTGAGGCCAGCCAATTGCCCCCAGATGGTTGACAAGTGCTTTCTGTTCTTTAATCCCACAGCCTCTTAGGAGGCAGCATTAGAATTTCTTTTCCACAGGACTCAGAGAGGTGACCAGCCTGAGCAAGTCACCAGCTAGCAGAGGGGTGAGTGGGGCTAGAACCCAGAGTTGAAAGATGAGAGCTGGGACACCAAGGCCACCGCTTACTCAGACTAATGCTACCTCGTAGGGTCACTGTCAGGATTAACTGGGGCCCTCAGCACATGAGCAGTTTCTCACCTGTGCATACAAGTGAGGATTTAAACCCAGTCCACCCAGTAAGTCAGCCACACTACACTGGGCCTAGCAGGTCCGGCCTCCAAGTCACCACACCTTGTATGTGGGGAGAAATGCAGGAGAGGACACTGAGTCTGGACACTTACAGGAAACGAAACAGAAACATCCACAACCACATCCACAGTCTGCTGAGGTCTCTGAGGGACAGGGAGTACAGCCAGGACCAAAGAAGAAGACCAGGCTGACTCCATGGGATGGATTCAAAATGGCCACAGATTCTTTGTTACTCTCCCCTACCCTTAAAAGGACTTTCCTCCCTGCCCTTTGAACCCAGGCAGGCTATAACTACTCTGACCATAGAATAAAGTGAGAATATCTGTTCTGAGCCTCAGCTTAAGCTTGTGGGAGCCTAGAGCTCCCAGGTAGGAAGCCAGCTTCCCTGCTGGTTAGACCCTGTGGAGAGGGTGAGACGAGATGCACCCAGCCTTTCAGTGGATCTGGATCTGGATCCAGATCCATCAACGCACCAGTCCTGTGAGTGTAGCCCAGTTAATGCCACATGGAGCAGAAAACCACCCATCTGAGCCAAGTTGGCTCACAATGGTAAGTTGCTGAGCTAAGTCACTGTTTGGGGGCCATTTGTTACACAGCACTAGATAATTAAGACATCGTTGGTCTAAAACATACCGCAGTCCAAGTAAGTGCTGTTCAGCTCTTTCCTGGGAATGGAGGCCTCCAATCTCTGACTCAGAGGGCACCTGGAAGAAGATGATGACCTCACAGTTCTAGCACCACAACCAGGTAACTAGGGTTCTCCAGCCTAAAGTCCCAGACAAGAGATGCTGATTGGGCCAACTTTGGTCAGGTGTCCACTGTGGACCAATCAGCTGAAACCAGGAGGCAGAGTTATTGCACCAACATGGTTACTGCCCAACCACCATGTGTGAAGAGCAGAGGGAGATGAGGATAATTTCAGGGCAAAGGCAATGTTGTGGATTGACTTGTGTCTTCCAAAATATGTGTCAGCTTGGCTGTACCATACTTAGCAGTTTGACAGTTCTGTGATGGTCCCCCATGGTGTGATCTAATGTGATAGAATGATAAGAGGGTTAAGTGTGGGGTCCACAGGCTTGGGAGCATAGTGGCTCCATACGATAAGCACTAGACAGTGAACCACAAGGTTGGAAGTTCAAACTCACCAGCAGGCTCTTTGGAAATCCTTTGCAGCATCACTTTGAGTCAAAAGCAACTTGACAGCATGTAACAACAATCACCAACAAGAAAGAAGAGTCAGGAATATAGTGCATCCTTTAGACCTGGTGTCCCTGCACTGTGAAGGTCCTGGATCCAGGGACAGCTTGAGGCCAAGACACATGGAGCGTACCAAGGAATGCTGGGCCTACCGATGTGGGAAGGAGATCAAGACCTTTCCCCAGAATGGACTAAGACAGAAAACTGTTCTCTAGAGCTGGCACTCTGAATTTGGACGTTAGCCTCCTGAATTGAGAAAAAATAGATTTCTGCTTGTTGAAGGCATCCACTTGTATTTCTGTCATAACAGCACCCAGTAACTAAGACAGGCCCTCTTGTCACAGGGGCACACAAGGGGACTGTGACAAGAGCCACCTCAGATGGCAGAAGAGCCCTTAGAGCAAGGCTTGGCTCAGTGGAAAGTGTACATAGTGGTGGTTGGATCAAGAGACAGAAGGGCAGTTGTGTCATTGCTAAATTTCTCTTGTGCCATTGTGCTGTTGTAGCTCGTGGGTAATTGTTGGTGTTGTTATCCTGCCTCCATGAACAGTATCTAAGCAAGATCTTTTGGGATGCTCTGAGCTTCTGGTAAGAGCCTTTGACATGCTCTCAAGTGTGAATCTAGCAGTAACACTAAAAATGCTCCATTAAACAAGAATGGGTTCCAAAAATCATGGAAATGCACACTCTGAGAGGCGAGGGATTGAGAGGCCAGAGGGATGTTCACCACAGGGGCCAGGGGAAGCCCAGGCAGGGTTGGGAGGAGGGGAGTGCCTGAGGTGAGGGCTGCAGGGAGAAGAGGGAAAACTTCTGATGTTCAATGAAATAGCAGAGAAGACTCCAACAGGGGACCCAAAGGAGGTATCAACCCCTGGTAAAACCTGAGCTCACCCTCTTCTTCTCTAACTGGGGTGAGGGTGGCATGGATACCCTACTCAGTCATAAGTCCCTCAAGGTCAGGAACTATGTCTGTTTCATACACCACCATCTCCCCACTGACTGGCAGTAGATGCTCTGTATTGGTTGAATGAATGAACAAATCTTATCTGGTACCATTGCCCTGATTCCCCAATGCCTCTTTTTCCTTTGATGCCCTGTCTGTCCAACCAACGCACAGTTGAGCAAGTCATAGCATCACTCACGCTCAGTTCCCCGTCTGTTAAATGGGATGCTACAGTCTTTCTGCATCCATAAGGTCAGTGGGATGATAAGACCATGTCAGTGAATCTAACTGAAAGGGCAGGGCAGACATAAGCTCTTTTTGGTACAGTCGCTGAACTCACTCCTACCCCCATGCCCCCACCTTCATCAACCCTTCTCTTCATCCCCAAATAACCATGCTGCTTCTAGCCCCAGTCAGTGCTTAAGTTAAATCACATTTAATTGTTTTTCAAGAGGGATTTGAGAAATTAGAAAAGAGATTCACAGTACTCAGAATCAATAAAGGGTTAACCGGGGGGAAAAAAAAAAAAAAGGAATATATTACACTTTTGATTTAAAAAATGCAAACGCAGTCCCTCTCACTCGCACCCCTGGGTCTTCACTCATGCACACACACGCATCTCTGCACTGAGACACACACTCACCCTTAGGTACACTCACACACACCCTTATCCCACTGCCAGGGGTCCCCAGGTGCTCACAGGAAGGCAGAGGCTGGGAAGACCCATCCAGGACCCTGCCCTTATAGAGACCTCCTCACTAAAATGGCAAAGCTAGACTACAGTCGGGCTATTGGAGACACACTGAGACTCTCTGGGCCACTCCAGGGTTGGGGAGTTGGAAAGGCCACTGGCAGGGGGCAGGCGGTCTTAGACGATTCTGTTCTCCAGGATGGCCAGCCTCTTGCTCACCGCTTCCAGTGGGCCCCAAGTCAAGGAGAGGTACAGGTTGGCCAGAGTAGTGTGATGATGAGAATGGTACCTGTGCTGGGGATGCCCACCTCCTGTTTCCTCTAGATTGCCCATCTTCCAGAACTTTCTCTCACCCCTAGGCTCTCTCTAACCTGTGTTTTTCCCTCTGTCAAACAGTATTCAATCAACGTCCTCAAAATGGTGCTCCCCAAAGGAAAGCCAGTCACTGTGGACCCTGATGCCCAGTCCTGTCTCTTGCAGGTCCCCCACCTAGTCCTGACTGGATCGCAATCCCACCACTTCTGAGGCTGTAACTAGTTATAACTCGGTGAGCCTGAGTCCACAGGAACCCACATGTTCCTGAATGTGTTCAAGAGTCTGTGCATATCCAAACCCTAGATCGGAACCTTCTGCCTCAGTTTATCTGTTTACCCTCCAGGCATCTCAGCTTTTGATAGGGTCATGTATCAAAACTGGTGTCAGTCTATCCATCCAGATCCCAAGCCTTCTTCAACAAGAGACAGGCAAAGAGAAGCTCACCCAACCCTGCCATTGGGGGCATCCTCCATCTATTGCCCTTCCTTCCACAAGGGGCCTTTAGCGAAGGATATGCTTTCTGGTCAGAGCCTGGAGCAGTCCCTCCACTTTGACCTGGAATTTCACAATAGACTCGCAGGCACATGGGTCCTCCTCTGTGGTGGGAGAAGGAGAGAAAGAAGATGGTGAGTGGGTGCCCTGGGGGCAGAGGGTCACTGCCCATGGTCAGTACTTAAGAGTTCTGAGGAGGGAGCACTAGGTATGCCACCAAGGCAGGCAGACATAGAGTCCTGGAGACAGAGTTCGGAAGAATGAAGGGAAGATAGCCCAGGATGTCTTAGCAGTTCCTCCAAGTCCTGATGACGAACTCAAAAAATATATCCCAATCACTAAGCACCTACTATGTGCACCTACACTATTGAGGGCCTCAATGTTATCTTAGAAATCCTGATGTGACACTGTAGGATAAGCATTGGACTGTAAGGTCAGTTTGAACCACAAGATCTGCAGTTCAAGCTTACCAGTCACTCCTCAGAAACCCTATATACGGTAGCTATGAGTCAGGACCAACGTAACAGCACTTAACAGCCACAATGTTATCTTAATGACTCCTCACCTCAACACTTTGGGTTTGAAATAATTAAGACTATTTTATAGATGAAGAGACTGAGGAGTGAAACAGCTTGCCTGTGACCAACATCTGTTGTTGTTGTTGTTGTTGTTGTTGTTGTTGTTAAGTGCCGTTGAGTCAGTTCCGATGCATGGTGACCCTGTATAGTGTTTCTGAGAAGTGGCTGGTGGGTTTGAACCACAGACCTTGCAGGTAGCAGTTCAGTGCTAATCCTACAGTACCACACCAGGACTCCAGCCAATATCTAGTTAGTGTCAAAGCAAAAATGCAGACCCAGGAGTGCCTGGCTCCGGAACCCACACTTTATATCACTGTTGAACCAGCACATCACAGGGAGAGTTAGGAGAGGCAAATGGGGTTTGAATTCCAACTCTCTCAGTTATCAACAATTATTCTGCCCCTCTGGCCTT